ATCCGTAACAGTTTGCTATGACTTGACCAATAATGAAAGAAATTGAGTCAGAAAGCTTTTTGGATAGTAACTTAAAAATTCAAAGCTAGGCTAGTCTCATATAGAAGCTGCGCGAAGCGAGGTCTAGGATAATCCGAGAATGAGTGGGATTGCAATGTCTAAGCTTGGTTCAAGGTATTTTTATTGTAGTGTAATTGTAAATGTTTAATTGATTATGAATAATAAAAAATCAACACATTTCTTTTGTACACAGCTTGCAAATGGAGGATAACTTTGATTAAAATAAATTCTCATTTCAATTGTTAGAAATAATGTGCACAAAAGTGTTTTTTTTTTTCAAAAAAAGAAAAGGAAAATGGACCACGCGGCTTTGAGTTTTAAGTGAAGGATTTTTGAGCTTGAAACTTTGAGAGTGCTAGAGTACAATAGAGAGACCTAAATTGTTGTTAAAAATGAGGAAAATGTTATTTTTAATGCAAGTAGAAAAAATAATTTTGTAATGACATATTTCATAATATTTGTGTCGTTTCTGTTTTCCAATTTATGTCATTCTTAACCTCACTCTTGCTAGTGTCAGCGGCTTTACAAGTTTTTTTTTTAAAGCAAACACCCTAACTCCTAAGCCTCCAAATTTAAGGGGCGCTATTTTCTTTAACAATGATAAATTAAATGTTTTTTTGAATTATGTTTAAACAAAATTGAGTACTATTCATAGAAAAATGAACTTTTCATATAAAAGGAAATAATAAATTAATTATATCAACAACTAAAAAAAATTACTATTAAAAACCGATTATAAAAAAGTTATAAATACTGTGTATCTTTAAATAAAAAATAGAGTATAAAAAAAATATTTATTTTCATTTAAAATATAAGGTCATAATTTTGTTCTGGCTTTAGATTATTATTGTGCTTGAGCCACGTTTCATTCCAGACACCCCAATATAACCATCATTTCACCTCCTATAATACTTCTCTAAGTTATGCATAAATATTCTTAAATAATATTTTTATTTATGCATCGAATATAAAGAAAAAATAAAAAACTCACTTATTTTTTGAAAAAAAAATTCAAAAACATATTTTCAATAAAAAAAACACTCACTCATTGTTTCTCTTTTTTCTAAGTCTGTAAGATTTAAAGTCCAAGTTAATTAGTGTATTATTTTTCTAAATAACTTTGACTTTTTTCTACTTTATTATCATTTTACAATTGTAGTATGGTATAGTCCTTTAATTAACGTAAGACTAAAAGAAGCAAGCGGAATTAGTGGACAACGCGCAATGATGAATATATGGAATTAATTATTTGTAGAAAAATCAGTACTAATCAAGTATTGGTGTTACTTATATTCAAACTTTTTTTTTGTATTGGTTAAAATAAGGATTTGGCAGCTGAAAATATCAAAATAGTAATTTAAATCTAATCAGAACTAACTCAAGAAAATCAGATTTCTATCAAAATACATGATCAAATTTGAATGTAGATTCTAATCCACCCAAGATTTGATGTAACGATGATAATTTGTTTTATAGTAGAATATAGGGTATCTACAATGGATCAACATAAGCTTCACATACTAATCAATTATGAAAAAAAAATTTGAAATTTAATCCAATAGTTATACACCTATGTTCATATAGGCTTAAACATGCATATCTTGATCGTTGTGAAATGTTGATACATACAAGACGTTACTTAAGATGATTATAATTTAATATACCTATTTCCATATCACTTGTAAATCATCTAATTTCATCATCAATATTGTTAGACTCACACTTTGCAACAAGCAAGCCAGTAATACTTACTTCATAGTCCATAATTCTAATTTACCTAACACGAAAAACAGTTTATATATATAAAAAAATTGTATTTCACATCTCTAAGTATACATATATATATATGCACTAATCTACTAAATACATAATACATCAATATAAGAATCATCAAAATGGACATAATCCATGGGGTCGGCTCAACCTAACTCGTTATTAGGGTAGAAATGAAATAGAATTTCTCAAACCCATTTAAAAATAGGGTTTATTAGTCTTTGGCCCTTGAGGCTTGATTGTGGTGGACCGACTTCAGCCCATGGGCCAAAACTATTTATTTAGGAATATGTTACAATAACTTTACTAGTATATGAGTTAATTACTTAAATGCATGTTATGTTGTAATATTATGATTTATGAATCTCATCATATTTTGATACGTCCGCATACATGTGTCATGGGATACATAGACTCAAAAGTAAGTTAATTTTTTATAGATACATTTTACTAAAATTGTTCACATGTATATAGGATAGATAGACAAATCCAGCACCCTTGCTCCCTTCCATCTCATTCAACAGTTTCTTATCTCGCTTGTGTATCTGGGATGTATCACATGAGATACATGTTTCTCACGTATCTAGTATCCTAGATACATACTAATCACACTAGATCTTTTGCTAGTGTTGTTGAAATAACACCATTATTTGTCATATTTGATTTGAAAATCTTCTTATATTCTTTATCTTATAAAATTATAAGTTTGAAAAGAAAAAAAAAAAGAAGGGCTAACCTGCCCCATCCCTCGACCCTCCTAGGATTGGGATGGGTTGACCATCTCCAGACCCTTCCAAATAAAAGATCAATCCGCCCTAGTCTATCAAATACCTTGGACCGGGTGGGATGTTGACCCTTTTTGACAACTCTAATCAATATCTCTTTGACCTAAATAGTGAATTTCTTTTCTTACCTAACATTATACTTAATTTCGGTAAACTAATGAGAGTTGGTGAAACACACAATTTATTAATTTAGTAATTTTTTTATAAAAAAGATATATCCAAAGATTAGTGCAGGTTTTTTTCCCTTCTCTTTACTTGATCTTCCCTAAAGAATGACAAGAATGAGAATGATTGCTTAATTAAATAGAATCAAATACATATAGTCAACTATATTACTATATAATATAGTCACTAACTAATCTTTCGTCTCAAACTTATTTAGTTAAGTTTGTGTCACATTCAAATAGACAAAGATAATGATTTAAAAAGAAGATTTTTCCTCGTTTGAAGTATCTACGCCTAACAAAAGACTTACCAAATTCTTTCTAAGCCAAATTAATCAATCAACTAAATTTTGAATGCATTTTATATCAACTCATGGTAGTTTTCATTACATGACTAAAAAAATATTTACGTACAATGTCATATTTCATGATTTGTAATATGGCTTATTAACATAATGACGATAAAAACTTGTTATCAAAGTGATCTCCATGGAATTATGAGTACATATTCCACAAGATATATAATACTTCATTCGTTTCATTTTAGTTGATCTGCTTTTATTTTGGTCTATTTAAAAATTATTTTTTCACGATATTTTTGAGCCTTTTTCGCAAATAAAATAATAATAATTTTTTAAAAAAAAAGTTAACCCAATTAGCTCAACTAGATAATGAAACACATATACACAAAGAGAAGCTCGACAATACATGGCCATGGATGTTAAAGCAAAGATTAAGATGAATACGGAGTTGTTATTTCTACTAATATATAAGATGACGATTGAACATCCGATACATAGGTTATGGATAAAATAAATGCAAAAAAATAGGTAAAATTTTGGAGGAGGACCAAAAGTGTATCAATACTGGAAACAAAAGGAACTATTAGTTCCATGTGAAAACTCAAGGATTAATTTGAGCCTTAGCCCAAAGAAGAGGGACTATTTTGATCCTTTTTCCTATTGTAATAGTTCTGTACAACTTATGTGATTCTTATATTTACAAAAAGAATACGTGACACAAAAACTCATATTGCATGTCCAAACAAAACTTCAACTCTATCTCATGATTTCATATTTCACATTGCCAAACAAAGACATATGGAGCAATATGAAATCATGAGTCTCCATTTGACGATATATGAAATCATGAGATGAAATCAGTGTTTGGACATGAGATTTCATTTGATTTCATCGCATGATTTCATATATCACATGACTAAACAAAGACCTTTGAACATGTGCTATGAAATCATGAGATGAAATCAAATCATGTGATATATGAAATCATGAGATGTAATAAGCGTTTGGACGTGCAATTTCATGGTGATTTCATCTCATGATTTCATACTTTGAGATGAAATCTCATATTCTTCAAAGATAATGATTTAAAAATGTCAAATATAAAAATTATCTCACAAATTTATTTTTTGTAAAAACCCACATTTATATATCTACTAACCATTTATTTCATATGTAGATAAAACTTATAATTCATATTTTATTACTTTTCAAACCATTCATATCTCATACCATTATTATTCTTACTAACATTAAAATTTATTATTTTTAATTCAAATCAATTTCTACGTCAACATTTATATTCATCAAATTTATTATCTTTTATCAAATATATTACCAATCAAATTGACCAGTAAAAGACTCAAAACAACAATGTTGATTTATTTTTTCAATTATATAAACGAGAAATGTAAGTTCAACATAAGAAAATTACCGATACCATATATGTGCGGGAATTATATAAAAAACGAATATACCACAACTTTTGTTTAACTTTTTTTTTAATCAAATCAAAACTTGATCAATAAAAATTGATTCTTTTTAAGAGTGTCTTTGTGACATTTTATTATGCAATTTTATAACTTTGGGTTTATTAGATAAGATTGTATAAAGAGATTTTAATAATTTTTTTAACTTATAAGATTTTTATATTTATAAAATATATAAAATATAAAAATTTTAAATTATATATTCAAATAAAATTTGAATTTCATATCACTTAATCGGCCTAAGAAAAACCAGATACTCCCCTTATTTCAATTTCTGTGATTTAATTTTCGTTTCAATCAATCTAAAAAATGAATATATGTCTATATTAAGTAATAATAATTAAATAAGTATTTTATTTTATGACAAAAATTTTCATTTTGGATTATAAATTTTTAAATTGTTAAAACTCCATGGGATAGAGAGAATAATAAGCCTAGAAACAAACATGTCCTTGGGAATATCAAAGGATGACCATTTTCTGTAGAAGAAAGAGTACACGTTGTTTAAGAAGGACCGCGTCTCATCTTGTAGTCAAACGTGTCTCCTCATCACTTCACCTTTTCTTGAATCTTCTTCTATGCGTCTGCCACAACACCACCAATACTCTCTTTTCAATTTGTGGGTTCATATAAAATTCATACTTCCCCTGTTTTTTTTACTTGTTTTGGCATATTGGGTCACTGTTTTCAATTGCAACTTTTCATTCACTTTTGCTTGGGGTAATCAATAGTAGGAATGGTTCAGATTAAGGAATTGTATCCTTTAACCATGAAATTCTACCTATTATTCTTTGTATGTATGCTTGCATATTTATAATTATGCCTATCTATTAATAGGTGATTTTCTTGATGCTAGTCTTTTTTCATGAGTATGAAGTGCTTATGGTTTATTTTTTTTCTTACACAACTTTTCTTTTGGTGAAAACGATTAGAAAAAAGGCAGGAGCTTTCTTTTCACACTTTATCAGTTACTTTCTTAATAAGGATGAGTATTGGATTTTAATTTGTAGGCTGTTCTATTTTGTTGGTGTTCATTCCTTGACCAAATGACTTGTTTGTCAACTGGGGATTCTCTGGAGTCGAATTGTGGTGCCCTTATCATTGGTAGAGGTAGGCCAAACTGCACAACTTTTAGAGTAAACTGAATGCTTATTTTAGTGGATAAATTAATTTAGTACTTGAATTGCAGTATCAGGTAGCTCAGATGTACATGGTCATGAAAATGCAACAGGAAACCACCATAGGCGATGAAGGAGTGGAGGTTTTACAGAACAAACCATTTAGTGATGATGAATTTGGAGAGGGCCAGTACACATCAAAGTTCTACCACTTGTAGAGGTAACTTCAGTTCAAACTTACTTCTATTTGATTATAGCATTTGAATTGATAGAGTAAGCAGTCATGGTACTAATAGACAGTTATTATCTTATTGGTATTTTAAATCAATCAGAAACTGATTAGGTTTATGATTATTAAAGTTGATGGATTTTACACAAAAGAAGTTTACTACTTTGGACATGCTTTCTCTGGCATAAGAAAGGTTGTTGTGTGGGTGGGTGGGTAGGGGTAAAACATAACAATTGAATTTATGAGATTAAAAAGTAGCTTTAGATTCTTAAGGCATCATAAATCTGCTAGAGATTTTTAACCTCCTAGAGAAATGTTTTGTATGGTTGACTTAACTTGTAAAGAGAGCAACTTTTTTGTATTTTAAAAGCTTGTAGTTTGAGACTTGATTCGCCTTATCATTGCAGCAAAGAGCCATTTTGGGTTACTACATTTGCACCAGCTGATGCCCTTGTGATGCAAGAGGAAGCCTGGAATGCATATCCTAAATGTCGATCAGGTTTATGTTCTTACTTGCAATTCATGTTCTTTTCTTGGTTAGTATCCAAGTCTTCCTTATGCATGCTCATACTAACCTATTTATTGGTTTCTATCGAACATGTATAACCATTTGATGCAGTTGTTAAGGTAATTACTAGTGACATACACCGTCCCTGACTACCTCTGCATTGTAGAAGTCCGAAATGTGCAGTATTAAAATTTTCAATTGATTTCTTTTTGCAGTTACCATATTTTTCGAAGTTCTTTATGAGTGTCGACACTATCCACAAAGCTGACAATGGGTATTCTGAGAATGTAAGTTCAATGTACTTGATCGTTGAGTCATAAGATGGTTCCAATAGCCATAAAATTGGAAATCCTGCTAGTTTTTCATGGTTGAATAAGATCACTACTTCCAATGCCATCTGTCCTGTGGCTATCTTGCTATTGACTTGAGATAATCATGTGATAGGTGCATGGCCTGAGTGAGAACCAACTGGCAGTTAGGCAGGTGGAATTTATTGATATTGCTTCAGCTGCCACTGATTATTGGAGTTACGTAGTTGGAAGAAACAATGTTGATTTCTCTAATTTCCAATCAGCAAGATGTGGTCGTGGACCACTCTTGGAAGGCTGGCAGGTTTGTATACCTCCTCTTTTTTTTTTACAGCAAAAGTGCATAATTACCCTCTCTGTTTCTTTTAGAAAAGTTCTTTTATTGACTTGGAGAAAGGATTGGACACCTTGATGTTCCTATTCTAACAGACACTGTCAGCTTTCTTACTTCTGTTTATCTATTTATTACTCCTCCAAGTGGGGTGTATTTATGGAGTCCAAGGTTACATAATTCAGAAAATAGGGATACCACCTTAAGAACCATAACTGGTCCCAATTGAAAAAAGTAAATACATGACTCTGATTATAGAGGCCTTCTCTTCTTTAATTGATTTAGATTTTGTGCCCACAAAGGAGTATGGGAATTGCTCTGCTAAAAGCTTCTAACATTAGGAGGCCATCACCCTCAATTTCTTTGAAATTAATGTTTTGTTGAGGAGAAGTGTAATAGAAGCAACTTGAATTCGAAATGACTATTAGCGAAACTAGTTGTAATCCTGAAGTCAATGTAAATGCAGATCATTTATTACCATCAGCCGTAACCAAATACAAACTTCATATATACATCATTTATGAGTTAATGAATTTATAGTAGAGAACTCCCGCAAGACCTAAATAAAATGTTTATTGAGAAGTTATTTTTCACTTTTGTCATTGTAAGATAAGAGGTTGTTGTGGTGTCTGAAGGTGTACTCTAGCTGTCAATGTGAGTCTTGAATGCAGACTAGAAGAAACAAGGGGGTTTGGATCCCAGCAGATGCCAAAAAAAATGAAAAAGAAGGTGATCTCCTTACATCTATTTGTGTTAGGTGACAATTATTTAGTACCTGTATTGGTGTGAGGATGCAGGTATGTGATGAGATAATCGAGTTGCGAAACTGGACTAGAAACCACTTTTTTTTTGTAAAAAAGAAAAGGATCAAGGGTTGTATGGGACAATAGAAGGACATGTGGGGAAGTGATACAAGGAACGATTACTATAAGCTTTACAAAATCTAATTGTGGAAGTTATATATGAACTTAGAAAGGCATCTTTCTCTTGGTGTCTCGAGCATTGTTTTAGTTTGTAAGTGGCACATGAATGAGTTTTATAGCAGAGGGGATTGGGGACGAGGTTATGCAACTTGCTTGTAGTGTTTTCCTTGTTGGAGCAAGGGATTTAAATTTTGGGATGAAAGTTCGAATAGTCATGTATCAAAAACCAAAATTTAGAACTACAAATAAGTTGACAATCCATTTTATACGAGGACCTGTAATGGCTGGATGTGGGTTAACATGGAGGATATGGTGAATTTTCAACCGAAATAAGCCATTGTTTAATTGGAGAAGGGCTAAATATATTTCTGTTCTATCAGAAATAATTTAAATATACCTCTCGTTATACTTTGGTTTAACTAACATAGAGACACGTTGACCATTGCTTACCAACACTTTGCTTACCGAATGTGATTTCTACTCTTTGAGGTGAACTATTAACTCTAGTATTTTTTGATATCGGCAGGACCTCTGTAATCCCGTTATGACAACATACAAACTGGTGACCGTAGATGCTCCATACTGGGGGTTTGGGAGCAGATTGGAACAAGCTTTGATGGCGGTATAAATCTGGATACTTCATTGAATAAATTATATTGTCTGCTTGAAATGATTGCCGAGCATTAAACTTTTTAGGAACTTTGACACCATAATGTTCATAACTTTTGGGACACATTACACCAATGTGGACTGATCTAATGAGTTAAGTGACATGTAATGTTTTTTCATGACATATTAAATTATTTGCTACATCCTCAAAAGGAGGGAATACTATGTTCTTTTAAATCTATGCCCTCAAATAGCAAGTGGTTTCTATAATTATATATATTGATGCTGCCAAAGCTGTTTTCCTCTTCAAAACTGATGTCTTCGACCTCTCAAGTTCCGAGCTTTGTATTGCTGGTCGAGTGGTCATACATGAGGAACTTCCTCAGAGGAAGGTTAAATAATGTGTTGAAATCTAGTAGCAATGCTTAGTTTTCCTATTGAATGATCTATAGTGCATTCGATGGTTGTTTAGTGAAGATTGTCCAAGTTTGTGTCCCTATTGAGTAAAAGAGGAGAATAATTAATCGTTCAACTGAATCTGTTATGTGAATTAACTGTTCTTTTTGTTTTCGTAGTTTCTTATGAAGATATTGAAGTTTCCTTATTTTGATGATCCCCATCATCATGAACCAATTTGCAATTTAATATGACTTTGCTCTTTTTCCTCTTTTTAATTTTTCCTCTAGTTTATTTTCTTAGGGGGAAAGGTCACTTTTCCTAGAAAGCCATCGTAATTGCTTTGCCTGGATTGATGAATGGTTTGGGTTGACAGTAGAGGTGTTGCGTGAGTTGGAGCGACAGAGTGATTATGCATTGAATATGGTAAAGTAGATCTATACATATATATTCTCTTCTATAACTTGTTTTTTATGCTTCCATATCTGCTGTCAGATCTTTATTTCTTTGTTTATTACTCTTCCCTGTTTTCAGTTTATATTAGTAGTAGCCACTTCCCCTTTAGTTTACATAACGTGATAAATCCCATCAACAACCTCCCATTTGGTTAGTGTAACTATGTTTCTTGTATATTTTTTTTTCTGAGAAGGTAACAACTTGTATCTATTTCCAAAAAAAACCAGAAACCCGCCACAACAAGTTACAGGTTTCCTAATTACATTTGAGGTGGAGTATCCAGAAGATCTTCGACCCTTTAAATTTTTTTTACAAAGATCTTAAGACAGCCATAATTGATGTGTATAGATCTCTGAAGAAGTTAGGATTATCAAGATAGTGAAGGAAGTTCTATCGAATGTTGTTGTTTATTCTCAGATGCTCTGTAAGTCCTTGTAGACAAGAAATGAGTTTGAGTCTGTTTTCAGGTGTTACTAACTTTAAGAAGCTACGATAAGATTGAATTTCTTGGTCCACTTCTACTGAGCCTAAGACAAAAAGAAATTAAATCCAAAAACAAAAACAATGTGTAATACTTGTAAAATTACAAGGGATGGTGTTAGAGAATATATTCATATTTCTAATGCACTGGGCCATTCCATCTGTTCAGTGGCGAACATATGATTTTTACAAGTGAGTTCAGCCAATAAAATCACAAGGGGGGCGGGTAAGTAAAGGGTCTTCTTTTGGCTCTCCTAACTATTTCCCGCGTTGGCCATTGGTTTTTCCCTCTCTTAATTTTATGTAGTAGAAGAAAAATGTAGTTTTTGAATCACGTTTCTTTTAAACGATGAGCATGTGTGTTGCATACCATTTTTGTGGAGAGGTAATTGTAGGTCAAATGTTTTACTTTCCAATGGAGTTTTATAATCTACCTGCAAATTATAAATATAATTAGTCGAATATGTGCTAACTTCAATGCACAAATAATTTGTAATTTAATGGAATTAAGTGAAGCACCAAGGATGAGCAGTTTCTTTAGTATGGATAATCAAAACGCTTTCTGACTGGAAGTTTGAGAGCTGAAAGTTGTTATGACACATGTGGGGTATGGGGAGAGTAGAATGTACGTAGACCTCGCCACTAACTCGTGGCGGTAGAGAACTGAAAGTTGTTATGAAGCTTTTTTAAAAAATAATTCTTAAGATTTATGAGACTGCAGATATACATTTATTAGTTCATATTTTTAACCAAAGAAACAAAAGTTATAGACAGAAATCTTTGTGCTGAAGGTTTCTTCCTTCAAACAATTTGGTAGAACAGTTCAGTATTTAATTTTACCTTCGCATACAAAAAGTAGCGGAATAGCCAGTTTTGAGAGTTTTGTCCATATTGATTAGAAAAAACCTGCACTTTTCATAAATATGAATTTTATGTGTTGTCCTGGGAATGTTGATGTTTGTGACTTACAAGAATTTGTTGGCAGAAACTTGGCCGGCCTTGCTCGGCAGAGAGTTGGATGACACAAGAGGAATCTCCACTTGAAGGCGAAAAGTCTGTTGCATGAATGTGTGATGTTCATATCTTTGTTTAACAGCTGTTGGTATGGTTTTCAGATTCGTATACGTGGAGTGGGTCACCTATCATAGAAGTTTATTGGCTTTACAATGTAGTTTGCTGCGGCGATATGTATGCTGTCCGCAGTGTAGTTTGCTGCGGTGGTATGTATGCTGTCAGCTTGTACATGAAAAGGCAGGGCAGATGTTAATATTATCCACATGTAGCAAGGTTTTGTTTTCTGATGCTTCTATTTTTTTAGAAGTAAGATTAGGTAAAAATGAAAGTTATGTAGAACTGGAGACACATTTTAGTGTATGTTGGTTAGCTTATTGATCATAAAGGCATGAAGTGTATATGATGATAGTTTAGAAATACAATTGAATTTTCGTGTACATTTTCTGGATTCATTTTTAGGGATCTTTAATCTTTACTTATTTGCACTTCAATTTGTTTGTCTTACTATTTACAGTCTCAAATTATTTTTGGCTTCTTTATGATTCTAATTTTCGATACGGTATGTTTAAAGACTACAAGATTGAATGGCAGTTTGGTGCATTTTACGTGTTTTAGTTTAAAATCACAAAATTTAGTTATTTTTTATGTTATCTGTGGGAATATCTTAGCGGCAAATGCAGAAAATTATGGCGTTTTGGAAGTACGGTAACTATTCATTTCTACCGCAAGGGTCAAGTTGGGTATAACATCCATTTGACTGATTACTTTTGGTAAATCTGAGAGTTCTCTGTGTAGTGGAAACTTGATCTGATATTTGGAGATTTCAGAATTCACACAAATATGTTCTATTGTTAACTATCTTGCAAAATACTATCTTGAAATAGAGCGGCTTATAGGATGAATAATTATATACTTAATTCGTTACGATAGTCAATCAATAAGCAGTGCGGACTTAGGGGCATCAAATCTTAAAGAGAGGTCCTAATATTTTGGCAAGTATTTTGTTTCTTTAGTCGTTTTAATAATTTTTTTTCTTGAATTCATTTGCCAACAAGTTTTAATAATTCACTTTGTATATTATGTCCAAATTAAAATGACTAAATTTTTTCATGCTTATTCTTCGAATATATTTTTGCATACCTGGATCAAAAAATTTAAACCTTTTTCACCCAGCCCAGGCCCAGCCCATCAACAGCACCGTCCAAAGCAAATAAAATCTTAGTGGTGAAACGTAGCAGCAAACCCGAGATCCACCTTTAAAACTCCTTCCACATTAGGGTTTTGCTCACTTCAGTATGTTTAGCTTCGCAGCTCCTCAACCCTCCGGCTGCAGCAGGCGAGACAACTTCGTTCAGTCATCATGGGGTAATCTCCTTTCCTTTTCTCTTGTAAAGTATATCTAGCAATGTCATACTTCATCGTGTTGAGAATGCTGTGAGACAACAAGGAAATGTATCGAATAATCCATGTTAGCGTAATGTACTGATTGAGCTGAGCAAGTTAGATATATGTGTTTGAACCTTGACGCTTCCGTGTGGATGTGTAGTCCATCTTGGCAAAACAGTTGAGCTCTCTCTGAGGGCAATGAGTTGTTTTGAATGCTGATGGACTCAGATTACATGTCTCTCTAAACTGTTCTGGGCTCCTTAAGCTCTGTGGGGTTACAGATCAATAGAGAAGAAACATTTAACTACGAAACCCCTTTTCTCCATGCAAAAATTACGCTATTATTAACAGTTACTGCAAAAATAGACTATGGATTTGTTCTTATGTTTTCTAATGCCTCTGTCTAAATATGAGGTTTCGAGTCTTGTCATACTTTACAATTTGGGGAAACTAATTACATTTGACATCAAAAGTTTAATTGGAAACTCAATGTGTAAAATTGGAACTTTGTAATTATAGATTTTGCATTACTGAGAAAAGAATATTTATGGGTATACATTAAAAATGTGTTACCCTTCTGTTTTGTGTGGGTGCGTAATTCCTTAGTCTATCTTGGCAAAGCAGTTGAGTCCTCTCAAGGGCAATGAGTTGTTTTCAATGCTAATGGACTCAGATCAAATGTCTCTCTAAACTGTTCTGGGCTCATCAAGCTCCGTAGGGTTACAGATCAGTAGAGAAGAAACATCTAGCTAATAAATTGAGAACTAATGTGTAAAATTGGAACTTTGTAATTATTGCTAGTTTTGCATTGTTGAGAAAAGTAAAATTATGGGTATAAATTTTAAACGAGTTACCCTGCTATTCTGTATGTGTGCGTAATTCCTTAGGCCATCTTGGCAAAGCAGTTGAGTCCTCTTGAGGGCAATGAGTTGTTTTGAATGCTAATGGACTCAAATCAAATGTCTCTCAACTGTTCTTGGCTTCTAAACTCTGTGGGGTTGCAGATCAGTAGATAAGAATCATCTAGCTACTGAAACCACCCTTACTTCATGCAGAAATTACCCTTATGTCTTGTAGCTATGCAAAAAAAAGGACATTCATTGTGTACAAAAATTATGTGTAATTGGCTTTGTTCTTCTGTTTTGGTGTGCTTGTGTCTAAATAAAATGTCTCGCGTCCCGACATACTTAGAAGTTTGGGAAAACTAACTACATTTGACTTTAAAAGGGCTTAGTTCAGAATGAGATCAACATTTGAGCTTAATTGAATAAGCATTGCAGTAGAAACAAGCACTTGAGAAAATGTTTGGTTTGGTATTAGGTCAAACCAAATAGTTGTATTGCTAAATTGAAAATGTGATGTGTCAAATATAACTTTTTGATTCGAGCTAGTTTTGCATCACTAGAAATTTTAATTTATGGGGATAAATTTTGAACTTGTCACCTGGCTGTTCTATGTGGATGTGTAATTCCTCAGTCCATCTTGGGAAACAGTTGAGTCCTCTCAAGGGCAATGAATTGTTTTGAATGCTAATGGACTCAGATCAAATGTCTCTCTAAACTGTTCTGGACTCTTCAAGCTCCGTGGGGTTACAGATCAGTAGAGAAGAAACATCTAGCTAATGAAACCCCCTTCCTCCATGCATAAAAACTCTACTTCTTGTAGCAATGCAAAAAAAGATTTTTAGCAAGTATAAGAATTATGAGTAATTGGGCTGGTTCTTTTGTTTTCTTGTGCTTGTGTCCAAGTATAAGGTCTTGAGCCTCGTCATACTTAACAATTTGGGGAAACTATTCACATTGACTCAAAAGGCTTTACTTCATGATGAGATCAACATTCAAACATAATTAAGTAAGCATTCCATTATAAATAGAAAATGATTGGTTTGGTATTTGGCCATTTCTCAATGTGTAAACTAGTAACTTTGTAATTCTAGCTAGTTTTTCATTACCAAGAAAAGTTCAATCTTTGTAATTCTAGCTAGTTTTGCATTACTGAGAGAAGTTCAATTATGGAGGATAAATTTCAAACTTGTGGATGTGTAATTCCTCGGCCCTTCTTGGCAAATCAGTTGAGTCTTTTTGAGGTGCAATGAATTGTTTTGAATGCTAATGGATCAGATGAAATGTCTCTCTAAACTGTTCTGTGCTCATCATGATCTGTGGGGTTACAGATCAGTGGAGAAGAAACATCTAAACTATTCTCTTCCCAAACAAAAAAAAACTCTATCTCTTATTAGCTCATGTTAGTGTTTAACATGCCATTAGTAGGCACTCACCGTGTATAAAGATTAGAGTACTTGGCTTTGTTCTTATGTTTTCTTTTGTCTGTGTAGACAGTTTGTTAAACTACTACATTTGACATCAAAAAGGCTTTTTGTTCATAATGAGATTTACCTACGTCAGAACTTTTTTTCAATAAAAATTTCTTCTCCATTATAATTATTAATAAAATTATACAAGTCTCAGTATATGTGAACCTCCCATGAGAAAATCCAATGAAAATAGCACATGGTAAAATGATTGGTAGTTTGCATTATTGAAGTAGGAATTTAATATGTCTAAGAGACTTTGTGATTCTGACAAGTTCTGCTTCACTGGAATATGTTAAATCTATGGGGATATGTTTAAAACTTGTTATCTGGAGGCTCTATTTGAATGCATGATCCCTTAGTCCATCATGGCAAAGTAGTTGAGGCTTCTTGAGGGCAATGAATTGCTTTGAGTGCTAATGGACTTTAATCAAATGTCACTCTTAACTGTTCTGTGCTCTCAAGCTCCATGTGGTTACTGATCAGATGAAACATATAAGAGTGATTTTGCAAGTTAAAATAGATAGTTATGAACATTTTGTTATATGCTGTTGATTTTATGTGTATCTATCAAGTGTGGTATCCCTCCATTGGTTGGCCAAATGTCAAGATTTCCCTTTTTTTGGCCACATCAAAACTTATGTTTTACCACCTTTAATGCAGGAAGACACGTGGAATGGGAGCTGATCGTAAACTGAAGTCCCACTGTTGGAGGCAGAGGTGGGCGGACAAGTCTTACAAGAAGTCTCATCTTGGTAATGTATGGAAAAAGCCATTTTCAGGATCATCTCACGCCAAGGGGATTGTTCTTGAGAAACTGTATGACCAATTTTGCTTTCCATTTTAAAATTTTTTTGCTTATCCATCTTTTTGTGAGTTTGGTTTAATAGACATAATGTTAACTGAATGAACTGCAGTGATATTGAAGCTAAGCAACCTAACTCTGCCATTTGAAAGTGTGCTCGAGTTCAGTTGATAAAGAATGAGAAGAAGATTGCTGCTTTGTACCCAATGATGGTTGTTTGAACTACATTGAAGAGAATGTATGTCTTTCTGTCATTGCAAATGTCTTTGTTTTTAAATTTCCTATGTAGCATTATTTAGTGTTGAATAAATCTCATCTGATTGTTTGTAGGATGAGGTGTTAAATGCTAGATTTGGTCGCAAAAGGCCATGCTGTGGAAGATATTCCTGGTGTTGGGTTCAAGGTTGTGAAGATGTTTGGTGTGTCACTTTTGGCTCTCTTCCAAGAGAAGAAAGAGAAGTCCAGATCTTAAATATCACTTTCTGGTCAAATGCAAGTGTGTTCGGAATTAATTTTTGTTAGGATACAAAATATCATTTTTTTTTCTTTTTCCCTAATTTCCAACTAGTATACTTTGTCCATGAATATATCCAGGACATTTGTTTCACCTTCTGAAAATAAATGTTAAGTGGAATTTTGGATGAAGCTGTTGGAAGTTGAAAGCAATTGGTTTTCTATCCCAGTGTAAGAGTTCTTTTTTGAATTTATTGTGCAAGTGTCCTCTTAATATGCTGTTGTTCGGAGCATATAAAGTATTAGTATTTGCATATTTTTCTTGGATACCTAAGTAAGAGGCATACATAACACTTTTTTGTTCAAGCAAGAGGTATGGACTTCCATTTTCCAGCAAGACTAGTTCAAATCTAAGTATGCCTGTGGTTTTCTTCCACCCAAGATAACGAAGACGACTGTGAAAATGACGATTCCGTTACAATGTTGTTATCCCTTTTACGTTTCATTGCTGCATCATTAAATAAATCGTAA